GCATTACTTGAATGTTCATAAGGCGTTCATTCCTCTTCTTTTTTGTTTTTTAAGAATGAGATGCATGTCTTTTTTTATAAGTATGATGAAACATCATAGCAAAATAATACATGCAGTGAACAAGAAACTTACAGCAATTAGGAATAATTTGGATCCAACAATCAGGAATATTTCAAATAGCAGAAAAAGCTAACAGCATAGGTTTCTTTCACCCACCAGAACCAAAAGAAAGTTTTCTTGGCAGTTCTCTGCTTTTAACCCCCTGTGTTCTCAGAGGCGTATCCATGTCCTCAGTGGCCACACCACGTGCCAATATTCAAATCTGGGCACCTATTGGTTTAACTACAGCATCCCAAAAAACTCACTTGCTTTTCAAACCAGGACAGAGGGTCTCTTTCCCTTCTGGCTGGCAAAGAGGTAACAAGGCCGACCCGGCCCCCATCTCAGCCAGGCCGGGCCAGGCGGCTCCTGCCGTGGGGCCGGGCCCATTCCCAGGGACCCCGCCAGGCCCCATTGGCTGCTGGGCAGGGCAGGGGAGGCCGCGGGGCTGAGGCCCGGCCGGGCCATGGCTGCAGTTGTGACCATCTGGGCTCTGCTGAGCCCTGCCCCGCCGCCAGCCCAGGCTGAGCCATGATCCACCGGGCCCCAGGAGCAGCCCTGGGCCGGGCCGGCTCGGCCAAGATTCTGCCACCGTTGGGGTTCAGCCGCAAGCCCCAGGCAGGGGGAGGAGAAGCCATCGGCCCCGGCCATGCTGCTGCTGCTGAGTTCTGGCCTGGCTGCTGAGATCCTGGCCCTGCCCCAGCGCGGCCCATCCTGACACAGGCCCAGCGCAGCTGCTGCAGAAACCTCCATCATAAAACAGCTCCGGCCACAAGCACCGAGCCCGGCTGGGGTCACAGAACCATCTGCAGGCCCCGGGTGAGATATGAACTCTTTCAGTGCTTCCATCCTCCCTCGAGGGAGAGAAAAGGACAAAGTGCAGATACATACATGAGCAGCACAAAGACATGGAGGTCAGTGAAGTGGAAGCTGAGTCCCAGATAGGAGGGACGAGGAGATGTCTTGATCTTGGAGCTGAAATGCTCTTGTAAAGCAATGGAGAAGGATGTAATTGATACATCAGACTCTCTTTTTCCCTATAAGGCATTGAAAAGCATGGGAAGATGACTTGTTCAGCAAAAACCTCCATGCTAAAGTAAGCAAACCTTGAAGTAGCTATGATCCCATGAGAAATTTGAACAAAGAGAGACTAGTGATGAGACCCTGTGCCTCATGAAGAGAAGAAGACCTCTGTTTGTAGATATGAAGATGATTTCAGAAATAGATGAAGAGAACCTTTGTTCCTAAGCAGCTCATCTTTAAACTAATACCCCATAAACTAACATGCCCATAAACACAGATGTGGCAAAAGATGTGAAAAAATGGGAGGGACTTCATGATTGCAGATTTTCTGGGAGGCTGATGTTCATGGGAATTGAGAGCCACGAGAAATATGTTTTCTTGTAAAGCTTCCATAGCATGGAAGAGAGACTCCTTTCCCTACGTGAATTGAAGAAAAACTATTCTAGAGGTGGCAAAGTGACTGAAAATTTTAGGTTTTGTCTCTTTCATTGTCAGTAAGAAAGAAAAGCTTGCAGGGAGAGGAGAAGTGTTCCAAAAGTTTTTTTTGCATTCATATTACTCTTTCTTCTAGTTACTGGTAATAAACTTTTCTTTATACCCTTTTAAAGTTTTGAGGCTACTTTGCCTTTCTCCTAATCCTACCTCACAGCAGGAAATAAGTACGTATAATCTAGTGAGTGTACTGGTATATAGCCAACACTGAACCCACCACAATCATTGCTGTATTCTCCAAGAAATCTCAAATTAGTGAACAAAAACCACTACAGACAGCTTCCTGATGAGCTCCATGAGAGCAGAGGGAAATCAAGGCAGAGCCATGGTTTGTCAGGATTTGCTTGATCCTCATGCGCCTCACTGTGCATTTGGAGCTGAGCCCTTGAACCTTAGGGCCTGAGAGGAGATTGCACAAACCTTTCCAGGAGTCAAAGTCAGAAGAAAACCGCAAAGTGTCTCAAGGCATTCATGGCTCCCACTGAGGTCCATCCCCAACACAGGTTCCTCATGGACTCCTTGGAGGACAGAATTGAAGGCCAGAATGGCACAAAAACCTCTCAGAGACTCAGCGTGGAAAGGAAATTCCAAAGTACCTTAAAAACCTTGAGTATCTCAAAGTATTAATGAGCCCCACTGAGTGTCAGTACAAAGCTCCCAAGGGACTTGTTAAAGTAGATAATTGGGGTCATGATTGCACAAACCTCTCACAGAGTCTGTATCAAAACAGAAACACCAAGTACCTTAAAAGAACTGAAGTACCTTGAAGCATTAATGAGCCCCACTGAGTGTTGTTACTGACAAAGCCTCTCCAGGGACTAATTACAGCAGATAATTGGAGGCCATCATTGCACAAAGCTCTCAGAGACTCCAAGGCAAAAGCCAAACCCAAAGTCCTTTGAAAAACCTGCAATCCCTGCAGGGAGCATTCAGGAGTCCCCATTCCTGAGCAAGGCTCCCCAGGGACTCCTTCCAGCAGATCCTTGAGGCCACTGGGATGTGGGCTAGGGGGGGATGCTGAGGGCAGGACAAGGGGCTGCCAGTGCCCAGCCTGGCTGGGGCTGCGCCAGGAGGCCCCAGGGCCTCAGGACAAGGTGTCTCCTCCCAGGCCTTGGTGGTACAGACCCTGCTGTGCCCCAGGGCACCAAGACTTGGCTTCTCTTTGTCCCCACCTGTCATCACTGCCTCCAGTTCTCTGCTCTGCCTGGGGTCTGGGGACACTTTTTCAGTCGTGTCCCTCAGTGGGACTCATTACAAGTCCAAGAAACTTTGGAGTTGGATTCTGACTTGGAGTTCTGGAGAGGTTTCTTCAGCTCCTTCTCAGGGACTGATGTTCAGGGCCTGAGCACAAAGCCCCAGAGGCTCATTACAGTCCTAGTCCTGTATCTGTGCTGCTGAGCTGAGCTGGGCTCCTGGTACAGATGCAGCTCCTGATAACCAAGAAGAGCTTCAAAAGCACATTTCTCCTGATGAGCAGCTCTTCTGCCAGCCCAGCAGGGCTGGGACACTGCCTGCAGCCAGCCCAGGCACAGCACAGAGGCACAGAGAGCTTCAATCAGTCACAGCTGGGAAGGTGCTGAGAAGTGCCTGGGGCAGAATCACTGCCAGCCCTTGGCACAGGAACCTCTGGCTGCAGGACAATGCAGCTGCAGCTCCTGGAGCCATCTCCTAAAGCTGGACCATTCCAATGCCTATAGACTCTGTGAGTACAACTCTGGGTATTTCTGGTGCAGGGGAGGTGAAATGCTCATGAAGCTCTGATGTACTGATGGGTTCTGATCAGTCACAGAATATTTCCAAGACAAGGATTTTGATAAAAATGAGGAAAATTCCTAAGACTGTATTCCGTTTCCTACTATTGGAGGATGACGGGGAGGGGGTATAAATATTAAAGGATGATTATGAATTTTGACAAGTACCTGAGAAATCTGAACTGTTACTTTTAGTGATCAATAGGTTCACAGGAGATTCCTAATGTACTTTCAGCCACTCCTCTGCCCATGGACAGCACCAGCATCACCTTTGCATGACCCATCAGGCTCAGTCTGAGCTGTCCTTTCTCCAAGCTGCAAACAGAACCTGCCCCATCCAGTGCCCTGCAAACAGGCAGGGTTCTGTAGGACCAAGGAGAGTGCACAGAGATTTTTTGGGGTCTGTGAGTGCTGGCACAGAGAGATCAGGCACAGGGAAACACCTGCAGCAGGGAAATCTGCAGGAAGCAGAGAGAAGATCAGGGAATGAAAGAAAACAAAACCCAGCAATGCTGTGGCAGGGAGAGTTTAGAGATGCCCACAGGATCCCCTCCAGTGCAGCCCCTCCCTCTGAACAAGCCCCCTCCCTCCTGTGCCCCAGCCAAGCCTTTGCCCTCAGGGCCGGGGCTCCAAGGTGTGCAGCCCCTCCTGTGCAGGCAGAACTGCAGCAGAGCCGTGGGGCAGCTCTGCAGCCCCGGGCCCAGTTCCCTCTGCAGAGCACAGGGCTGGGAGCATCTGCCCGGCCCTGGGGGCTCTGGCAGGGGGCACTGCTGGCTCAGGGTGACGCTGTCCCCAGTGCCCGGCTCTGGGCAATGCTGTCAGTGCAGCCAGGGAAGGAGCTGCATCTCCCTTCATCCAATACCATCATAAGGACACTTGGAAGTGTCCCTGAGATTTCAGTCCAAGCTGGGAGCTTCAATCCAGGGCGCAAACCTGTCCTGGAGTATCTCTGAGATATAAGATTGGTGGGGAAAGGCAGCGGTGTTGTTACACTGAAAATGCTGCTGGGTTGGTGAAATGAGCAAAGAGAGCCCTTGGCCACAAATGTGGAGCTGGGCTGTGGTGGATCCATCTGCTCTCAGCAGTACCTAAGGCATTTTTGGGAATAAACATGGGAAGTTGATCACCCTCCACCTGCTAAAGTTTAAACCCCTGACAAAATCTGAACAGATCAGAATGAAAGAACACCTCCCCTTAGTCTCCACTCATCACTTTGTCTCAGAGAAATCACTCTATTCTCGCGGGGGGCAGCAAAAATGCTGAGGGCTTATGATATCCAAGAATACCAAGACAGACATGGAGGGAGCTTAAAAAGAAAACTGCAGAACACTTGAACACAAAAGGAGGTCTGTGTCACTTACAGGGGACAGCGTATGGGAAATTGCTTTGATTTTGCTTACGGGTGTCTCCTCTATCTCTACACTGTCTTTTTCTCCATGAACAGGTCCACATGCCAAGGATCAGCAAATGTCCAACAGCAGCTCCATCAGGCACTTCCTCCTGCTGGCATTGGCAGACACGCGGCAGCTGCAGCTCCTGCACTTCTGCCTCTTGCTGGGCATCTCCCTGGCTGCCCTCCTGGGCAACGGCCTCATCATCAGCGCCGTAGCCTGCAGCCACCACCTGCACACGCCCATGTTCTTCTTCCTGCTCAACCTGGCCCTCACTGACCTGGGCTTCATCTGCACCACTGTCCCCAAAGCCATGCACAATTCCCTCTGGGACACCAGGGACATCTCCTACACAGGATGTGCTGCTCAGCTCTTTTTCTTTCTCTTCTTCATCATAGCAGAGTTTTCTCTCCTGACCATCATGTGCTACGACCGCTACATGTCCATCTGCAAACCTCTGCACTACGGGACCCTCCTGGGCAGCAGAGCTTGTGCCCACATGGCAGCAGCTGCCTGGGCCAGTGCCTTTCTAACTGCTCTCATGCACACGGCCAATACATTTTCCCTGCCCCTGTGCCATGGCAATGCCCTGGGCCAGTTCTTCTGTGAAATCCCCCAGATCCTCAAGCTCTCCTGCTCCAAACCCTACATCAGGGAACTTGGAGTTTCTGTTTTCACTGCCTCCTTAGCTTTTGGTTGTTTTGTGTTCGTTGTTTTCTCCTATGTGCAGATCTTGAGGGCTGTGCTGAGGATCCCCTCTGAGCAGGGACGGCACAAAGCCTTTTCCACCTGTCTCCCTCACCTGGTTGTGGTCTCCCTGTTTATCAGCACTGGTATATTTTCCTATCTAAAGCCCACCTCCATGTCCTCTCCATCCCTGGATCTGACCCTGTCAGTTCTGTACTCGGTAGTGACTCCAGCCCTGAACCCCCTCATCTACAGCCTGAGGAACCAGGAGCTCAAGGCTGCCGTGTGGAGACTGATGGCTGGATGCATTCAGAAAGACTAAATTAGATGACAGTTTTTGCAAATCACTTGTAATAAAAGTCATCTTAGATAGCTCTTGTTGGTTTTCTTGCTGGTGGTTTTTTTTCCCTTGATTGTAGTTTTTCCATATTTTCCAAAAGAAAAGCCACAGTTCATTCCATTTCACATTTTGTGTATCTCAAGAGTTCCTGTGGCCACAGACTGTGTCAAGGAGGGGCTGCAGTCTTGGTGGCTTTAAAGGAACTAAAGGATCTCCCAGCCAAGTTTTCTGCAGAGATGCCCTTTTGTTGCCTTCTCTGGAGGTGCAGCACCAATGTCTGTGTGCAGAGCTGGGGGCAGATCAGTGCTGGCCCAGCAGCTGTGCCCAGCAGCAGCAGCCGCACTTGGTGTTGCCAGTGCTGCTGCCGTGGCCCTGCCCCGCTGCCCTGGCGGCCCTGGTGTTGCTGTAGGGCCTGAGTGCTCTTGGGGCCGGGCACAGCCCTGGGGGTGGCAGTGCCAGGGCTGCAGTAGGGACAGGCCATGGGCACTGCTGGGGCAGCACTGACGCCTCAGCCCAGGGCCTGGGGGCTCCAGGCTCCTTGCCCAGGCTCTCTCAAGAACACGGCCAGGCCAATGCTCTGCACAGAAACCCCCGTGAGCAGCCTCAGGCTGGCCGTGGGCAGGCTGGGGGCAAACAGCATGGCTGGGGCTCTGCAAGGGCCCTGGGGCAGATGGGAAGGAGCAGCAGAGCAGGGGCTGATCCATCCCCAGTGGGCTGCACAGCTCAGGGCAGCGTTCCAGAGCATGCTCATGGAGCTGCCAATGACATCCCCCCTCTGCAGCCCTGGCCTCTCCCCCAGTTCACACAGGTGCCCCATCCTTGCAGGCACAGACACGGCAGCACTGGTTCAGCAGCCCCTGTTTGCATTGCACAGAGCAGAGGGAGCACCCCCATGCTGTTGGTGTGGGGACATGAACCTGAGGGAGCACAAATGCCATCAGCCCCATGGGCCAGCAAGGGCTGGGGGACACCGGGGAAACCACTCAGTTTTTTCTTGGCTTCTGCAGTCAGGCAGAGAGTTTGTTCCCATCCGCTGAGAGTTCCCTGTCCCAGTGCAGACGCTGTTGCTCAGAGCCAGGGCTGCCTAGCAGCCACCCCCAAAATGCCTTCAGCATTTCCTTGACTTCACCTTTGCTTTTTTCACTCTTCCTGCCGCAAGTTTCTTCCTATTGCCCAGCCCTGTCCCCTCCCCTGAAACAGCCCATCCCTGTTTGCCCTTTTCTCTCTGGCCCCACTCCCCATTGCAGTTCCTGACTTGGCACCATGGGAACGTCCCTTGGGCAGCAGGATCATCCTACAAGTGCTGCAGGAATTGTCTGCAGGCTCCTGCAGTGCCTGGTGCTGCTCCCTTGCCAGAGGCACCCCAGGCCAGGGGGGCACATCTGGGCTGCTGTGTCTGGCTCTGGGGCTCCCTGTTCTGGGCAGTGAGGAGGAGCTGCAGAGGCTCTGCAGGACTGACAGGATGGGCTTTGGGGCTGGCAGGAGAAGCTGAGGGGCCTGGGCTGCTGGAGCTTCTGCAGAGGAGGCCCAGGGCTCCTCCTGCAACTGCTCCAAGGGTGGTTCCAGAGAATCCCAGAATCAGCAAGGCTGGAAAAGACCTTGGAGATCATCAAGTCCACCCTGTGCCCTGACACTGCCCTGTCTCCCTTGATCCTCCTCTTCTGCAGGATAAACAACCTCAGCTCCCTCAGCAACTCCTCAAAGCTCTTGTGCTCCAGACCCATCCTCAGCCTTGTTGTCCTTCTCTGGACACGCTCCAGCCCCTCTATGTCCTTCTTAATTGGGGGCTCCAGAACTGAACACAGCACTCAAGGTGCTGCCCAAGCAGTGCTGAGCACAGGGGAAGAATCCCTGCCCTGCTCCTGCTGGCCACACCATTCCTGAGCCAGGCCAGGAGCCATTGGCCTGCTTGCCCACCTGGGCACACTGCTGGCTCCTGTCCAGCCTGCTGTCCATCAGTCCCTGCAGGTCCCTTTCTGCCTGGCTGCTGTCCAGCCCCTCTGACACCTTGTGGAAGGGAAGGGAAGGGAAGGGAAGGGAAGGGAAGGGAAGGGAAGGGAAGGGAAGGGTCCAGATCCAATCCTTCCTGAAATGTGGGGTTTGCTGGCACTGCCAGTGCCTTGACCTGAAAATTTCCCTATTCTGGCACAGCCCAAGTGCAGCAATTTGCTGGCACAGAAATCCAAAACCTGGCAACTTTCTGCTACTGGGTCAGGCACCTCCCATGTCTTGTGTTTGCTGCCCCAGTACCCAGATTTGGAAATTTCCTGGTGCCCGCACAGCCCAAGTCCAGTGATTTGCTGGCACAGAAATCTAAAATTTGGAAATTTCAAGGTTCTGACTCCAGCACCATCCAGATCTAGTGTTTGCTGAGACTGCCAGTGCACAGATTTGGAAATTTCCCAATGCCTTCACAGCCCAGGTCCAGCAATTTGGTTTTAGCTAGCTTAGGAAGAGAAGTTCCTCGGACTGTGACTTTCCTTTTTCTTGGAACTGTTTAAACCTGCTCTGGACTGAAAACCCAGACAAACACCGGCAGCTCACACCTGTGGCCCCCTGAGCTCTGGGACGCTGCATTCCAGCACCAGAGGGACTTAGAAGAGACTGAGTGAGCCAACTACAACCCACAACAAGGACTTTCTGAATTTTCCATCTCTTCAGCACTGTCCGAGGTTTTATTTAATATTATTCATTTTTCATGCTTGTGAATACTTTACTTGTTTAATAAACTGGGGTTTTTTTCACTTTTCTCGAGGGAAGTATTTTCCTGAACTAGTAGGGGGAGGGGCTGCTTGAACTTCCTTTCTAGATGGAAACCTTTTGGAGGTTTCCTCCCAAAATTTGCCCTAAGCCAGCACAAACAGTCACAATGAAAACTTCACCAGTGGCACAATTTCCTGGTGGCAAATCTTGTGACAGAAGCTTGACCTTGTTCTCCATGAGAAATTCTTGGGAAGAGCAGACAGGAGAAGATTCCTGGAAAACTGAAACAGCTTTCCAGAAGTGAAATGAAAATGGAAGAAACAATCCAAGATGTTTTCCTCTATTTATTTCTATGCTCCCCTTTTCCATGTTGCATCCCAGTAATTCCAGATGTACCTCACCTCTAAGATCAGTGACTTAGGGATTTTTAGGCATTCTAAAATACCATGAGCCACACACTGTTTTCCTTCCCCTGTTTTTACTGGAAAGAAACACTGAACATGTAAGTGCAGTGCTGGGCTCAGGTAGGAATCCTACCCCAAGGGAAGGTGGCCCGGCAGTGTCTGACCCTCAGCAAGGACAATGCACAGCAGCAGGCGAGGGGATCGCTGTGCCAGTGTGCAGGAGTCAGGGCTCTGCATCCGGGCTCAAGGCTGCAAAGTTCCCGTGTTTGGACAGACGGAGGGGCTGTCTCCGGGGCGCGCGGGGCTCGAACGTGGGGCTCGTGGGGCGAGCGGGGAACGGACACGGGGACAAACGGCCCCGGTGCCTCAGTTGCAGCGGCGGCAGCAGCAGCGGCAGCAGCAGCGGCGACAGCAGCAGCAGCAAACAGATAGTTTTCAACACTCTTTCCATTTCTCTTTTTCTTTCTCTTTCTCTCCCTTTCCCGCTGTCGGGCACCCTTCTCTCACGGTCCCTTGCCCGGCGTCCCTCTCCTCTCTCCGCCTCCCTCTCCCCTGCCGGGCCAGGCCATGCCCCCGGCCCGCCCCCGGCCCCGGGCGGGGCTGCCCCGAGCCCGGCCCCGGCCGTCCCGCCGCGGTCTCGCCTCCGCCTGGCTCTGGCCGTACTGGCGGTGGCGCTGCTGGGCGGGCATTAGTGCCTGGTGCGGGGGCGGCATCGCCGCCCTTCGGCTCCGCCTGGCCCGAGCCCGGCTCCGGACCCGACGCAGGGTCCAGTCCCGGCCCCGGCCCCGGCCCCGGCCCCGGCCCCGGCCCCGGCCCCGGCCCCGGCTCCTCCCGGGGCCCGCGGAGGACACACGCGGCGCGGCCGCTCCCGCCACCTCCGCTGCGGCTTCCCCGGCCCGAGCTCTGCCGCTCGGCAGCGCGGCCGCCAGCCCCAAGCCGCCGCGGCCCGGGGCGGGTGGGGATGCCGGGCCCGGGGCGGGTGAGGGGCGCTCGGGGGTCGTTGCTGGCCCCGAGCCGAGCGCTGACAGCCGCGTCTCGCCCGCAGGTGAGGCGCAGGAGGCCTTGCAGGAGCGGTACCGACTGGGATCGCTGCTGGGGCGCGGCGGCTTCGGCAGCGTCTTCGCGGCCACGCGGCTCTCGGACGGCGCCCCGGTGAGCGGCGGGGCCGGCGGCGGGCGCGGGAGGAGGGGGCGGAGGAGGAGGGAGGAGGAGGAGAAGGTCGGGGCGCGGCGGGACGGGTGGCCAGCTCAGCCCGCTGCTCTCCCTCGCTCGCAGGTGGCCATCAAACGCGTGCCGCGGGATCGCATCCGGCACTGGGGCGAGCTGGTGAGTGAGCAGGGCCAGCGGCAGCAGCCGGGCCGTGCCAGGCGGCGAGGAGCCGGGGCCCGGCAGGGTGGGAGCCGCTGGGAGCCCTGCGGGGAGAGCGGGCGTGGGCTGAGCGGGGCGTGCAGAGCATCCCGGGCTGGCTGAGGGCTCCCAGAGCCCCGGCACGGCCTCGGCCCCACTGACGGCACCGCGCTCCTCCTGCAGCCCGACGGCACCAGCGCCCCGCTGGAGATCGTGCTGCTGGCCAAGGTGTCCCGTGGCTGTGGTGGTGTTATTCAGCTCCTGGAGTGGCTTGAGCTCCCCGACAGCTTCCTGCTGGTGCTGGAGCGTCCGGAGCGGTGCCAGGAACTCTCGGGTTTCCTGGCGGAGCGGGGGTTCCTGCCCGAGGAGGAGGCGCGGGGGCTGTTCCGCCAGGTGCTGGAGGCCGTGCGGCACTGCACCAGCTGCGGGGTCCTGCACCGGGACATCAAGCCCGAGAATGTCCTGCTCGACCTGGCCAGTGGG